GGGAGGGCGGCTGAGGGGAGGCCGGGCAGGTTCGGGGGGTGTAGGGGAAGGCTGTGGTGCTGGGGGGCTCTGAGGGGAGGCCGGGAGGGGGTTTGGAGAGGCCCGGGGGGAGCACGAGGGGCCAGGGGGCTTCGAGGGGAGGGCAGGGGGCTGCAGGGCTSTGTGGGGCTGATGGAAGCACTGGGGGGGTTGGGGCAGCCCTGGGGGCTCCGCTTCCCACAGGGAGGCCGGGCGAAACAAGGCCTGGCAGCCACATCCCCCCATTCACCCACCCATCAGCACAGCCCTGGGGCCCTGCAGCCCCCGGGGCAGAAGGGAGAGGAGCAGAACGAGCCCCCGGGGCTGCCGCGCGTCCCCCTGCTCAGGGGATGCCGCGGGGAGCAGAGGATGCTGCGGGATTTGCTGCTGTATCCCCCTGTTCTCCCGAGCAAGCAGGGGCTGCCGTGTCCCTAGCCCCTGCGCTGTCACYGCGGGCTGGCTCTACACTAAACCTGGCTCCAACCTTCGCACAAGGCCACGCAGAGCAGCTCAGGTTGCCTCTGGTTTCCAGTGACACTTTCCATAACAGATCTCTCCAGGCCTTCGCACTAGAAAAGGGACCTGTGTAATAAACGTAGGATTCATCTTCAGAGAGGACCGAGCCCAAAACAGGGCATGGAAAGGAGGGCAGGACTTGGAACAGCTTGAACTCGACATATAGAGCACCACAATCTTTGTTTTCTACAGCAAAAGRAACGTTCTCCCTTCTGGTAGCATTACAGGGACCAATGCAATCATCTACTATTGCTGAGGTGCCACAGGCTCCGTACCTGCACAGTGAAGGTCAAGATGCTCAGTCTGCATCACTCCATTATTCCCGTGTAAGACCATTCAGAGCTTTAATGCCCCTCTTGGAGAGGCATGAAAAGACTTAACTGGCTCAAGGGAAGTTTCTCCTGAAGTCACCTTGCCTGTAAAGACTGGCTGCAGGGSCTCCATGGTGACTGGGACGCAGGTAAAGTGGCCATTCTCTTGAAAAGCCAAACTTGAGTTTTGTTAGTCCTTACTCAGGTGACAGAGGTGAGCAAGAGCTACAGTTTGCCTGAATTTGTGCTCCTTTCTATTACATAAGGTGGTTGTGAAGCTGCTGCAAAAACACCCGTTGTAGCTGTGAGTGCAGTGTACACTGCTCTTAATACAGAGCTGAGGCGACTTGCCCAGGACCCGACATTTATCTTCTCCCCCGTGGTGCCTGCAGGCCCCTATGGGAGCTGCTGCTGCTTAGTGTGACTGGGCACAAGTTTGCAGTAGCAGCTTGTCTTTATTTTTAATTATCCTTCATGCTAAAAATCCCCCCAAACTTAAGCCTGCCTTGCTACACTGTGCACTATTTCTTTAAAATTCTATTTACTTTGGACTTTTACAGCTTTTTTGAAACTTGAACTTGTCTGTGCCTTTTGTAGCAGTTGCTGCATCARTGGGAATGCAGTAACAACCTTCTTAAGGCCTTATTCTTTACATGCATGTTTATAGTTTTTTTCTTAGGGAATATTGATGTTTACATTAAAGTGATGTTTCAGTTGACAGCTGTGTTTTGTATGGAATGCTTCATACTGTCCCCACCTCGTCAGAGGAGTCGAGGGCTGCTCTGGAGTGCTCCTTGAAAGCCAGAGCGTTATCAGACAGTGACACCAGGCTCTCCAACCCTCTTTCCGCCCTGCACTCCTTAAAGTAGGGTAGCTTTAAGGATAGCTCCTCTATCCATGGGCACCAGGGAAGCTGTTAGAGCCCAGAACCAAACTCCTGGACACACAGCCTGGACTGATTCCTTGCACGAGGGGTCAGCTCCTGTATCCCACAGTGCGGTTGGATTATCCGTTTCCCACCTTTCCCACATCTCCTACCAGTCCATGTCCCTGCCAGCTACTCCATTTAGGATGCAGGCACCACGCCAAGGCCATTAAAGCAGCACTCACAAGGCAGAATCCTTATTTTACCCTAACACTGAGAAGCTTTTCGGAGGTCCCAGGGCTGTACTCCATTTTCTGTGATGTGCCAGGGCCCAAACCCACCTTTCCCAGAGGAACACAAATTGCTTCCTTCATTCTGCTCATGGTTCTGCAAACCCCATCGATCCTGCAAGCAGGGTTTCCCCAAGTGGGATGGACTGTGGGGTGGGGAAGAATAGGGCAGCAGTGCAGACAAACAAAGCAAGGTCTCAGAACACCAGAAAGACCAAAAGTTACACAACAGCAGGCCTGTTATAAGGATAACACTTATCAGCATTGGCCAATACACTTCATAATGATGTATTTTGCCCCTTTAATCATAAGGAGGTTTTTTTTTTTTTTTTTTTTTAAATGTTATCTCTAAGCCTTTCTCCAGAGAGGTGCAACAGCAACAGGGAGATAGAGCCCAAGTACAGCAACAAGATACAGGAGGCAGGAATCCCTTCTCCCTCCTGGCCCAGCAGCTGCCTGTGCTGTGCAGGACACTGCACACCTTCAGCTCGTGTTGCTGCTCCTGCCCAGACTTGCTGGAGCCCCAGACTTCTTGAGCAGGAGCTGAAAGCACAGAGCTAATCCTAAGCTTTCTAGTACCCTCCATTTTATAATTTGAAGAGGTTCATATCCCTTCATGTCCTTTCTTAGGCCATTCCTGGCTGTGTCTTCCCGAGCCAGGACACCTAGCACTGTAGGTAGTGGCACAGGCACATTTGGATTAGTCTGTTATACTGGAACAGCAGGGGAAAAAAAAAGAGTTGCCAACTCACCCTAGGAGACAGCAGAATGCTGCTTGCCTGGACAGCTCTGTTGCTGCTCCTCTGATGCATTACTCATCCTCAAGTACACTACAGTCTTGTAGAATCCAAGCAGAGAAATTTCCAGTTAAACACTGGAAAAAATAAGATCCTGGACCTTGCTCCTAGTTAACTAGTTTGTGAGACATTTAAACAGCGTGCAGCTCATGCTGAAGCATCCTTTATGAGGAAGGAAATATTTTATAAGGCAGAATAAAGACAAAGAATAAAGAAAATAATATGAGCCTCTCAAAAACACACATGAACAGCCCCAAGGAGAAGTCCCAGTTGAGCAAAAGGGACAATACAAGGACAAGTGTGTGATGCTGTTGGAAGTGCTGGAAGGAAAACAAGAAGTGGGAGGAATTGCTCAGCAGTGAGTTGGAGCGAGAATCCAACAGAGCAGYTGAAGGAAGAGCGGGTGAGGCAGCAGGATCGAACCCAGGCTGGACAGAAAGGCGGGTTGTGCTCTGGAGGTAGGAGCTAAAGGCAGCAGGCAAATAAGGACAGTACGTTACCAGCATCAAGTACCAAGGGACACTAGGAGCTGGAAGTCCATTCCTAACTGGGAAGGACAGAGCATTAAGGCCAGGTCAATGACAACAGGCTGAGAGTAGAGAACAGCAGTAGCGTCTTTGCCACCTCCTGTGATCAAAATRCACCACAGTGGGATGTGATACAGGCCACATTTTGAGGCTCAGCAGGGACCTCACGAAGTGACTAGTCGGGGAACACTCACAAGGGAAACTTTGATTCACAGCTAGTTGAGAGCCACTCAAACTTGGTCCCACACGAGGGCCTCCCCACAGGCCTGTGCAGCTGACCAGAAAACCCTCAGTCTCAACCCTCCTGCAGGCCTGARAAGTCTATTACAAAAGGAAAACTACACAAAGGTGATGCCTCTTACAGGAGATTTGGAGAACTTGGTAGCTTGGTGGGTTGTTCATGGAATCCTACACATGCTTCCCAACACACAGCCCGCTCGCAGGACTGCGGCCACGGCCTCAGCAAAGGAAACGGAGCCACGGACATCGGGGTGGAAGTGTCAGTTCTTTATTAGTGTCAGCTACAGGAACAAATAAAATTTCAGAACCCAACACATTCACTAAGTGGTGACTCATCAGCGCTTGTCATTTCCKGGACAGCTGAGCCAGGCTGGGTTCYACATCACATTGCCTAGACTGCTCTCGGGGCCAAAGGGAGAAGTAACTCGGGGGTTCTCAGAGGGCMTAAGTCTTCCACAGGGAGGCAGCAATTTTGTGGGGTTTCTAATGCACATGCACAAAAACAGGATGGGGCATTGAAGACAAACCAGGGTAACAGTGTGGACATCGTTCCAACAAACATGGTGAGGCTGCTGTTGTTTCTCTTCAAAAGCAGTGGTTGAGACACTCTCATTCCTCCAGCCTACACAAAACAAACAAGGAAAACCCAACTAACACWATTTTCTCTCATTAAAGCTATAGTCTAATCCAGACAGTAGTTTACAGGTCAGTGTGCACCTGCATTAACACAGTTYCCTGGTGACCACAAATAACATGTTATCTGCAAGAGAAGCACAGAGCCCAAATCRCACATTGCTGATCAGGAGAGAACTTCTGCAGGAGGGACAGATTCAGGCTCCCCAGGGAACTTCAGCCTTTACAACGATACCAAGATCCTGCAACAGCCTCTTTGGGGTTTCCTGCTCTTACGTTAGTCCCCACTAGACCTAGGAAACAAGCAGCAGCCTCTCCTTATCTTGTTTCCTTGGGTTCACAGCTTGTCTCCATAGTTCTACATGAGGGTTTGGGGTTTTTATTTTCTCCTCCCCTCCTATGACTTTGTAGCACGATTACAGAAAACAGAGAATTAAGTGGAACATTGTGGGCATAAATAAGTAGCTCTTCAAGCCTTGCTTGGTCTGGACATGCGGCCCGGAGGGAGCAGGGAGCCCCCCGAGCACCCGCCAGCCCCCGGCRGCTCCCAGACCTACCAGGGTCAGGGCAGGAAGGCGGCAGCGCTGCCCTTGTGCGGCGGCTCGGCAGCCTGGTGCGCCTGCAGAACAGCCACGGCCTCCTCGATCTGCCAAAGCAGGGAGAGAAACGTGTTGAGCTGCCCTAGCGCGGGGGGCACTGCCCAAAAACACAGGACCGAGGGCTTCCTGCCGCCACCGCCTCCACGCATTGCTCCCCCTGCCCTCTTCCCTCAATTCCTATGCCCACCCACCTCCCTGCCACTCTCCAAGATCCATATTTTTGGAGGGCTGTTCCTTTTGCTGAAGGGCAGGCACCGCTATGCGTGGTGCATCAAGCTGGGGTCATTTTTGCTTCTCATCTTACAAAGCTGTCCTTCTAAAGGCCATGAACATCCTCAGCCCATCATCTCTCCAGAAACATCACTCTTGCTTGCTGCTCTCAGCACCAGATAGTGTCTTTGGGGTGGGGGTTGTTGGGGTGCCGAGTGCCTCCTACCTTGGAGCGCAGCGACTCCGGGGACTCCAGGAGAAGCAGCAGCTCCGAGTTGTCTATCTCCAGCAGCATCCCGGTGATCTTGCCGGCCAGCGAGGCGTGCATGGCGTGGATCAGAGGGTAGAGGCGCTCACCTGCTCCAGACACCAGCAAGGACCTCAGTGAGCGCTAGGCAAGGGCAGCCCAGCGGTGTCAAACTGCCCCCCTGCAAGGCCAGACCAACTCGCAGGCTCTCACTGCAGCTTTCCCTACCCCACACACTCCACATGGGGCCCAGGTGTCCTGGCATCACCCAGCAACTTCCTTCCCACCTAATGACTCCCTTCCCAAGCCTCTCCTGAGCAGAGGTGGCCAATGTTTTGGCTTGTCCAGTGCAGAGAGTGTCCACAAAGGTGGAAGCTGCTGCATGGAGGCCGGTAGCAGCTGGCGCTCATTGAAGGAGCAGAGCAACAGGGCATGCGGCCACCCTTGAAGGTGGAGAGGACAGAGCCACGTGGCCAGCGTGGCCCGTACCTGCCTGCCAGGATGCAGCCAAGGGGCCCGTTTTGGCAGGCGTGGGTTCTCCCCAGAGAACTGGTTCACAACCCACTCTCTTTCTCTGCCTAGGCAAATGCCCAAGGAAGAAGGACAGTAAGACAGGCTCCCTGCAGCCCCGGGAGCCCTCCAGCTCCCGTGCCGTGGGCATTAGCTGCTCCACTCGGGCAGCTGGCTGTGCCCAGGGCCACCCAAAGCAGGGCGGCAGCAGCACCCACCGATCATCTGCTTCTGCTCCTGAGGAGGGGCTGCTGCGAGCATGGAGGCCGTCAGCGGCTCCTGCCCCTGCACGTGCACGGCAGGCTCTCCCACCTGCAGAGAAAACAGGAGTTGGGAAGGCTGGAGCAGCGTGGAAGCTACCTGGCCTGCAGCGGGGTTATYGCGACCTGTTGGTGAAAGCCCGAGGGAGGCAGAGCGGAGCTGCTGCCTTGTCCTCAYACCGAGCGCCCCATGGGAATGCTGCGGAATGGGGCAGCCCATTGGCTGAATTTTGGGGTAGAAATGGGGCAGAATTTTGCCTCTTGGATGCAGCCTTTTCCCATCCAGGCTCCAATGTCAGGAAYGCCAGAGCCAAGCACTGCTGTCACAGCCACAGCGGCTGGATGTTCGTGCCTGGCTACACGGGCAGCTCCAGGGAACGTCCCCATGACACCAGTGGGACCACTGGGGTCCCTCGGGCCAGCGCAGAGGTGGAAATCCATCAGGATTGGACCCCAGGAGCGGGAACAGCGYCTCCTACCCCGCTCGGTGGCCGCGGGGCGGGCGAAGCCGCTACCTGCTGGGCGGGCGCCGCGCTGCGCAGCGGCTGCACGTTCCTCACGGCCGACGAGTACTTGTAGTGCTGCGCGCCCCGCGGCGGCGCGGGCGACGACGGCCCCCGCGCGCTCACCGTCTGCGTCCCGATGTTGGCTGCAACACAGGAGCGCCCGTGAGCGGCGCTCGGCGGGACACGCGCCGGCCACCGGGCAATGCCCAGGTGAGCCTGTCCCCGTCCTCTCCCAGCGCCTCTCCGGTGCCCRCCTGCCTGCAATATAACATTCAATACAGTGATATAATATCACAGCCAAAGGGAGGAGCTGGGCTAAAGCTGCGCAGAGCTGGGAGSGCTGTTGGTGACGCAGCCCTACCAGCTGGTCCCACCTTTTGGGGACCTCAGGCTGTACCTGCTCACTCTGTGCACAGGCTGCAGCCCATGCTATCCGTGGCCCTGCTCAAACCCTGCCTGCAGAGGGGAYGGGAAGAGCACTGACCTCCCTGTGCATGTCTGGGCCTACACAGCTCAACAGGTCCTCACATCACTTGGGCTAAGGCARGTGGAAGAAAAGGAATGGGATGGATGAGGGGATGAAGTTCTTCCATGGGCCTCAGGGTGAGGGATGTCAACAAGGTCTGTTCTTTCAGACCATAGCCCCAGACACCTCTAACATGAATATCCTTTAATGGGGCCTCTCCACCTCAGCATATAAGAAACTCTGCTTTAGTTTATGAGGTCTTCTCACCGTTTGCCTCTTTCAGCCTCAGTCTGAGCCCAATCCTCTTTAATAAGGATCACACATAAGGATCAGAATCAAACAAGGCCAGTCTACTTACCAGAGACTGGTTTGCCTACCTGCCAGACCACAGCCCTCYCCCAAAATGACCACAGACCCTGCTCCAGCCCCCTGGCAGAGCAGGGGCTCCTCCCCAAAAACCCCACACAAACCCATCCACCTTTGGAGATGGGCACGAGCTTGCAGCAAACACCCTTGCCAAGGTGCGCCCGCCGCAGCCACGTCCTTCAGCACTCACCCACTCGCTGGGCCTGGGGCGGCACGCGCGGCACCTGGGTGGACGCCTGCCTCATGGTGCTGATGTTGGAGAGCAGGCGTCGCGGCGGCGCCGCGGCCCTCAGGATCGGGGTAGCTGCAGGATACGCCGCTGTGGAGACAGAGCCCAGTCAACAGAGCGCCCTTTGGCAACCAAGAAATGTGCTGGGAAACACCTCCCGCGTGGGGAAAACACGGGATGGCCCCATCTCTGCTCCACCCAAACTGCTCTTCCTCCCCGTGCCCRTCACCGGTGACCATGCTGCAAGATGTGTGACAATTCTCCAGGCTTCCCACAATCTGCATGTTCCCACAATCTGCATCTCAATCCCCGAACTAGCCCAGCACCAGAGAACCAGAGAGAAACCAGCCTGGAGCAGCTCTGCTCCGCACACCCAGGGAGACAGGGACTCACGGGGAGGCCTGGAGGGCTGCGCACTCCAGCGAGTGGCAGGGCGGACTGGGACAACTGGGCTGGGGCTGTAGAAAGCAGCTCTGGTTTGTGGCTACGGAAGGAGAACACATTATCCAGTTGGACATTACACGTGTCCAACATGGAGCATCCCACTGGCCACCGGGCGCAGGTGGCTGAGCTGGGAGCACAAACCAGCACAGGGCTGAGATCCACCCAGTCCTGCTGCCTGGATTCACTCCTTCCAGGGAGGCCACTCATCTCCTCCCCATGGGCTTCTGTACTCTAGAGCCCTCCTCCTCACCCCAAGTTCATCAGGGTCTCTTCCCACCCCTGCCCTTYCACACGGGAATGGGAGCAGGGACTCACCTGCGGGATGGGGGGGAGGAAGTAGCCCGCCGGGGGCTGGAAGGAGCCAAGCAGAGGGCCGGGCAGGGCCCTCATGGTGGCCAGTCTCTGCATGTACTGGTTGGTGAGAATTGCTTTCCGCTCTTCTTTTCTTTGGGCCAGCGCGACGTAGAGGGGTTTGGTGCTGACGATGCGCCCGTTCATCTCCGTCACGGCCTTGGTAGCCTCTTCTGGGGAGGAAAAACATACAAACCCAAACCCTTTGCTGTGTCCACCCTCTGTCATCACCTAAAATTGGATTAGAACAACACAGCTAAGTGCACAGATCACCGCAGGCCACCCGCGAGTCGCCGCGCGCTCAGGGGGACGCACAGGGGCTGGATCCCAGCACGAGAGGGACCAGGCTCCCCCACGCCAGGCTGGCAGCGGGATTGCCAAGCCAGGACACAAGTGACAGGGACCCGATGGCATCTGCCGTGACCCAGAGGGGACAGCTCGACGTGGGGCTGAGCTGGAGCTTGCTCCTAGCCTGGCTGCGTGAGCTAAGCAGGGGCTCCCACCTTGCTCCCAAAGGGCACAGAACCTGTACAACGGTCAGAATGGGGCAACTTTAAGGCCCCATGTGTTGCAACTCATCAGGGCTGGGGTAATTTACAGTCTTAGTTATTTTATTGAATTAATAAGCTTCAAGGCAGAGCTGGGTACAAGCAACACATGGTCCTCTGTACTTGGCTTTGGGTATAACCATCAGTGGGGGGTTTTAACCCAGCGGGATGACACCCTGATCCCCTTTAAAGGGCAACGTGAAGGGGATTCACTAGCGCTTGTGCTCAGCCCAGGAGCTTGGGGGACCGTGCAGAGGTCTCACCTTTGCGCTGGTGATGGTGCCATAGGGGGAAAACTCCTTCCTCAGCCTCTCATCATCTATGCCATCATCCAGGTTCTTCACATACAGGTTGACCCCCTGCAACAGGCAGAAAATCAGGTTAGTTCCCCCCAAAACGTACAGCAGGGTCACAAAATCCACAGCATTTTGAAGCTCATGCATCAGCAGCTTATCTTGCAGGTGGGACAACCCACACAAACCCCTCTTCGGAGCTGCAGGGAATCACTGACTAGCAGAAGAGCAGGACTGCAAAACGTGCTCACTAACAGCGAGATGCACTGAGCAAACCAGCTCACACTGCTGCAAAAGAGCTTCTCCAGGACCTCAGGAAGCCTCCTAATTTCCAGAGCAATATTTTAAATTTCTAGAGAAAAAAAGACAACCCACTTGTTTGCCAGCCAGCACCACCTGGGCTTAGAGGTCTCTAACACTGCTTCCACACAGATCAACAAGTCTGATTCCTTCCACAACCGACCCAGCGCACAGCCCTGCTCAGGACAGCCCTGGTGCTACAGATTTTCACCACGGCCGAGCAGCAGCTCTGCAGGAGGGAGCAGCTCTGCCCCCCGGCCCTCACCTGGTACCTGCTCACTCGCTCCTGCTTGATCTGCTCGAACTTGCGCTTGAGCTCGCTCTGGCGCTCCAGCCGCTTCTGCGCCCGGCCCACGTACACCGAGCGCCCGTTGATCTCCTTGCCGTTCATGTCGGCCACGGCCTGCGAGCGGGACGAGGGCTCTGAGCGCCCGGCCAGCCCCGCACCCTCGCCCCGATAGATGCCAGGGGACTTGCCACCCTAGGACACTGGTGGGCAGTGGCATCTTAGCAGGTGACAGGCTAGGGGGAGGCTCTGCTAGGACAGCGCAGCTGGGCATGGGAGCTGCCAACCCAGAGCAAGAGGCCTCTTGCCTTCTGGGCTTCCTCGTGCTTCTCAAAGTTGACAAATCCAAAGCCCTTGGAGCGGCCAGCGTTGTCCATCATGACCTTGACGCTGAGCGTCTTCCCTGCAACACCAAGGAGAGCATCAGTCTAGAAGAACATGTCTAGGAACAAGGGACACGGGGGGCATGTGGAGCCTGTGCAGGTGCTGACAGGGTAACATGGCCCCAAAAACAACCAGAGCCACCTGTGGAGGGACAACAGCTGCTGCTTAGAAGCCCTCTTGGAAGGAACACTGGAATGAAAGGATTTGTAGCCGTAAAGAAGCAGCACAGGCCAATACTGAGCACGTTCTGGCATTTCAGTTTCTGTGGCTAGTGTCAGCTCAGATGCGTGTCCTTGGTGTGTGAACACACAAGTGCCTTCAGATGAGCCCAGTGCAGCCAAGCTGGCACGGACCAGGCACAGTCTGTGCACTCGCACACTGCTAAGCCCTGTTCTAAGGGGCATCCGCCTTTAGAAGTCCAAGCTGAAAAAGCAACTTTGACTTTGAATTCAGACTCAGCARCTTTTCCTCCTCAGGCTCCTGTAACCAGAAAGCAGCTGGGATTCAGCAGAGTTTCAAGCAGCTTTTCTTACCCACGAGGTAGGACCTTGCTTAGGRGTGGCACCCAACACCAGGGATCTCCCACCATGGCAGGAAAGGGCACGTGGCATCCTGACAGTTTAAGCCTCTGCAGTGCTTTGGCTGCGTGGCATTTAAACATCCCAGATCACACAGCTCACAGGGGCCCTGCACTGAATCCCCCCCTCTCCTTTGTCTGTCTTTGCAGCCGCCCCAGCCCCAGCTTTCCAGGCATTGGGATATTTGCTCCACCAAGGGCACGCACCAAACTTGGAGAATATTTCCCGCAGTCTGTCGTCATCCATGTCATCCCCGAAGTTTTTGATGTAGACATTGGTGAATTCCATTGCCTTTGCCCCAATCTCCGCCTCACGCTCCTTGCGGGATTTGAAGTGGCCAACAAACCTGTGGGAAGCAGGACAGGCACACAAAACCCTCCCCAGGCTCTGAAGGAGGACAGCGATGGGGCATCCCTCTCAGTACAGGGCAGAACCTTAGGCAGCCCCTTGCATTTGCAGAAGGGGAGACTTGCAGAAGAATCCCACCAGAAATGAGGCTGGAGTAATGCAAGCAGAGGGCTGAAGAGTGTTGAATCCTCTTCCTGCACCAGACTATCTGACCCCAATGCCGTTACGCTGCCTCAGCCCARCTTGGATTCCTTTCCTCCTGGCCAGGACGGGCTCCAAACCTCTATCCAAACCTCTATATCCTCTATCTGTAATGTTGCACCCACGGCAACATTAGCCATGGATGGCTCAGTGTGCAGGACAGCGCAGGGGCCAGAGGAAGAGCAAGGAGGGGACAGGGAAGCAGAGGGGCACAGGGAAAGCAGCGGGACACAGGGAAAGCAGCAGCCTTCAGAGAGCACRTCTGTCCCTGAGCACCTGCCAAGCGACTAGACCCAGCCCAAGGGCAGAGCCGCGCTCGCGCTCCCGCCCTGCACTTACACCTTGCGGTCGTTGAGCAGCATCCCGTTCATGGTCTCAATGGCTCGGGTCGCTGCCTCGTGCGTCTCAAAGTGAACAAAGCCATAACCGCGGGACCCGTTTTCATCACAAACCACCTAAAAAGCCGAGCAAGGCRAGTGAGATGAAGATGGACACACACGGGCTTCCCCTACCTTGGGGGCAGAAGCCTTTGGCTTCTCTTCAAGCAGTGAGGTGGGATTTAAAGGAAGGAAAAACAGRAGATGCGAATTTGAACTAGCTGGAAGATGCTGCCCAGAATACTCAGGATTTTCCCATAGGAACACCTGGGTTCTGCAGCATGTGTCCCATACCCACCTTGCAAGACAGGATGTTGCCGAAGGCGGAGAACGTGTCGTACAGGGCTTTGTTATCAATGGAGTCATCCAGGTTCTTGATGAAGACGTTTCCAACCCCCGACTTCCTGAGCCCGGGGTCTCGCTGCGACCACATGATCCGGATGGGCCGGCCTTTGATCACCTCAAAATTCATGGTGTCCAGGGCTCGCTCGGCTGGCAGGAAGACACACACATTGGCAGCAAGAAAGAGTGAACGTAAACGGGAGCGACGCGTGGTGTGGACACATCCCTGCCCACGGCTCGCAGCGGCTGAGAGGGACATGCAGGTTGGGGATGCTGCCGGGCACAAGTTTAAGTGAACCCAGCAAAGCAACGGGACCAACCCAGCATTGCCCRTTGCAGAAGCGTTGGCTGCGGTGCCCACAGGGGCACCACATCATCCCCACCCCACTCCACCTCACCCCCAGCCTCAACCCCMTTTTCCTTCTCATCCTGCTGGTGACAGTGGTGCAGGCACAAGAGGCTCTTTTCTTGGGGTCCCTTAGCGGCGCTGTGATCTCAGCCTGTGCCAAGGGTGGAGGTTGCTCTCCAGGGCAGTGGGATCACTGCCCGCTTGCCCCGCGGCATCGCCCCCCGCGCCGCTCACCGTCCACGGGCTGCTGGAAGTTGATGTAGGCGTAGCCCAGTGAGCGGCGCGTGGCCACGTCCCGACACACGCGGATGGACATGATGGGCCCGGCAGGCGAGAACTTCTCATAGAGCATGGCTTCGGTGACGTCCGGGTGCAGGTCTCCCACGTAGAGCGAGGCGAGCGGGTACCCCGGCCCGCTGGCGTTCATGGTCGCCTGCAAAGCTCCTTCCTCTGCGAGGGAACAGGGCCCGGCGACCGCAGGCTTGGCTGTGGAGCAGGGGCTCGGGTGAGCACGGGCTGCCGGAGCTCAGCCCTGCCCGCGGCCCAGACAGAGCTAGCCCTGCTACAGCGAAGGGAAGGTGGCTTTGCCACCAAAGCCAGGGCCAGGAACGTCCCAAGGACGCCACAGCTCAAGCTTTCCAGGGACGTTCCAGTAGCGGTGCAAAGCCCTGCCAGAGCTTTGCACAAGAACCAGAGCCCRCACACCCAGGGAGCCGCGGGGACATGACGCGCGCTCTGCACACACAGCCCCTTCCTTTCAACACCCAAGCACGGAGATAGCAATAAAGGGAGTTTCATCCCTAGGAAGCAAAGGGCCCTTCCTGCACTGGGGAAACTGTTTTCCCAGGGCAAGCCTGGGGGCTGCAAAGCTGCAGAGGCACCAAGGCCCCTGCAGCCTCTCCGCTCGCTAGTGAGGACACAGGAGCAGGTAAAGCAGCACTCAGACCCACACTATCACGAGTCAGGGATCAAGCACATCAAGTTCATCCCCACTCGGGATGAGCCCGTCCTCAGGGCTCCCAGCTCAGACTCGCTCACAGCACCCCATTTGGRCTCCCTATCGGAGCCRCAGATCAACACGCGTGCACGGGGCRGTGCAGCCCGGCGCTGCCCCGCTCGGGACGGCGACAGCCCCGGCGAAGGGACCGGGCTGCGAGCCCCTGCACACGCTGCCCGCACGGCCCCCAAGGACAAGGACAAGCAGCGGAGCAAGCGCCGCGGGACGCGGCTCCGTCCCTGCAGCCCGGGGGAGAGACCGGGCACGGGGGAGAGACCGGGCACGGGGGAGAGACCGGGCACGGGGGAGAGACCGGGCACGGGGGAGAGACCGGGCACGGGGGAGAGGGGAAGGAGAGGGGCAAGGCGGAGCGGGGAGAGCGAGGCACAAACCCGACCCGGCCCCGAGCGGCAGAAAGACCCGAGGGCAGCCGGGCTGCCGAACCTCCCCCAGGCCGGGGCCGGGCTGCTCAATAACCGAGCCCGGCCGGGCGGGAGCCGCCGCCGCAGAGCCCCGCACTCACACCGGGCGCTCCGGCGGCTCCGCTGCTCGCGCCGGCCCGCGGGGGCCCCACGGACCGGGGCGGGTCTGGGCGGTTCGGGTCCCGCCGCGCCTGCGCCCGCCCCGCCGCGGGCACCGAGCCCGGCCCAGCCTCCCCGCCCCATTCGGTTCGCCGGGGGTTCCCAACAGGAGCCGGGGCCCGAGGCTGCCTCCGAGCGAGGAGCGGCCGCCCCCGGGCCCAGCGCCGCCCTTCGCCCGCATCGCACCCAGCCCCGGAGCGCCAGGGCGCCTGGGCCTAGAGCCGGGCTCAGCACCCCGGGCCGGGCTCAGCGCCCAGAGCCGGGCTCAGCACCCCAGGCCGGGCTCAGCACAGGCACCTGCGAGCACGAGAGGGGATTTGTCCCTCAGCAGCTTGCGGGGCTTTGGGAGCCCCCGAGCGGTGTTTGGGGGCTGCAGGGCCCAGAGGGTGCCCGGCTCTGCGTTGCGGCCAGACCCCGTCCACGCGGCCTCTGCTTCTGCCCTTGGAAGGGGGCACRGTAGCCAAGGAGGTGTCACACGTCTGCGGTCACCGAGACCTGTCTGAGCTCCTGCGCTGCCCTGGAGCCTGCAGCGCGGTTCAGAAGCCTSTGCTCGAGCCCTCAGCTCCACCTCGTCCCCACACATGCCATAAACACCCGCCGGGGCGGCTGAGGAGCGAAGCGGGAGAAAACTCACCTTGCCGGGAGGCTCCTGGTGTTTCCCGCACCGACCTGGCTCCTGCAGAGCTCAGGGGAGCAGCAGCAGAGCTCAGGGGAGCAGCAGCAGCGCCCGGTGCATCGGTTAAACCTCGCAGGCTACACCCACGTGCAGCGTGGTCTGGGTCAGGCCCTGGTCTATCACATCTGCAGTGTAGGAGCCCCCTTTCCCAAGGGGATGGCTGCAGTGGTCRCTTGAATTAAGATCACTTGCTCTTTGGCCTGTTTCTCTGCCCCCCTTTACCTCCCCACACCTCTCTCCCTCTTCCTTCAAAGGGGAAAGGRAGGATGGAAGGAGGTATCTGGAGGAACTGGGGCAGGACAAGTGCTCTGCTGACCAGAGCAAGCCCTGCGAGGTCCTCTTTTTGGAGCTATGTCATTAACAGAGCAAGATTGAGAGTCTGTGTACACTAAAATTATTCAGGAGCAAATATGTTTATTCAGGTAGGAAATGATAAAGCACCAATAATTACAAATATAAATGGAGACAGTTCTTTACCATGGCTTTAAATGACAGACTGGTGCTTGCTCAGCAGCTAGTCAGGCAGGTTTCTGACTAACAGCTCTGCAGGAGAAAAGAGCATCTGCAAAGCACAGGTCTGTGGACCATTCCTGYGGGAGGAAAAGAGGGTCTGGAACAAAAGGACACGTGTTTTGGCCCCAGACAACCTGCCTGGCAATTTTAGGCTCAAATCAGTACTCTTGGCTACTGCCATTCACCTCCCAGTGCTGAATCTCCAGGAAAACGCCTGCATTTCAATGTGCTTTTGCACACACGTACTGCCTTCTAGAGCAGCTGACGAGTGGGGTTTGCTAGAGCATGTGCAGGGTATAATCCCCAAATGCAATGGGGGGTGCAAAGGGGCAGTGACCTGGCTGAGGAGTTCAGCATTTCAAGGTTTCCCCCAGGAAAAAAAAAAAAAAAACATTATGGGTCAATAGCCAAAAGCAGCAAGCGCTGGAGCAGACTCTGTTTGCGCGCAGTGCGTTCCCAAAGGCAATGACTCACAGCAACTTAAAGGAGGATATTTATAGTTGTATTTCTTTCAACTCCTGCAACAACAATGTATTTATAAGCATGACCCTAACACAGGAAAGGGGAGAAGCAGTGCAAATGCTTCTAGTACAAATTCAGGAAGGTGGGTGAGAATTTTTCTGAAAGATGAATGAGTAACTATTAGTACCTTTTAGAAACCATGAAACAATTCAAACAATGTGAGATCGGAGCATTTAATTAAGGGAAGCAGTGATTCAACTACATTTTTTTTTTGGCGACCAATATGGTAAAGAGAACAGACACAAAAAATGATAAAATTTTTTTTTATTATTCACTTTTGAGTTCTTTTACACTTTCCTGATTATTTTGTGTAAGGTGAAACTAGAACTGTTTAAAAGACATACACAAATCTAGTACATCAATAACCAGGTATTTCTTTTTGCTATACTATTCTCACAACCACGTGTGTGCTAGGCAATATAACCATCACAGAAGCAAACTTTAGGCAGAATACTGGTCAGTAAAAACAAAGCGAAAAGAGCTACCAGATATACAGACAGGCTCGGTTCCACATTCACTACTGCATTTATCAAGCGCCAAGTATTAACTGCACAATTTGTTCAGCTAGTAGAGGGGAGTCTTTAAAATCAGTGCATGAAATTCTCTCTTCAGCAGACAGATGGACAAACAGAGGGGTCCTATAGAGCTAAGTGGAATGTTCAGGTGGAGGGATGATACCGTGAGGCTGAGAGGTGACTGCTCCTTAATCTCTTCCACTGCCTTGTTCATGCAACTCGTCTTAGGTTTTATTGAATGGGACATGTTTGGGAATGTGAGCAGGTGAGGATAGTTGGAGCTCAAATATTACAAGTCACAAGCGTTGCAAATGTATAAGGTCTGCTGCATTCCAGTACAATAAATGGGAAATCCGGAATATTTGAGCTAGATTTTGGTACTGTCTCTACGTGGCAGAGAGAAAGAGCCAAAGGCTACAACAGCACTGGCAGCTCTCAAACATCCAAGGAAGAAACCTGTGCACTAGCAGGCTCAGGTCTCCCACCCCCCATGCTGACATCAGCCATAATAAAAAACAATGAAATAAGAAAAAAGATGAAGCATTATGTGGGAGTCTGAAGTTGCTTTAATGAAGTTTAAACAGGTGAAAGGGTTGAGGATAAACAGTTCAACGGGAGAAAAAAGAAGAAAACCCTATAAAGCAATCTTAAAAATGTCTCKGTGGAATATTTAGAGGTTTTTGGGGTAAATTCCAAATGGGATTACCATGGAGATTTCAATTTACCTAAGAGGAAAGTAATGCAAGGGTGGCGTATCATTTTATGGTATCATCCAAACTAATAAGGCCATTCAAAAAATTGAATCTTCTCCTATTGCAAAGTCCATGGTAGTGAACCAGGTCTTACTACTGAAGATCATTTAAGGTATAATTAGGTAACTTATTGCTGCGGGAAGGGGCTTAGTCATGCACGTCGTATGAGCATGAAATCATTTTCAGAAGTCAAATCCCAGTTATCTGCCAGCGTAAAGAGTTTGGAAATCAAGCTGCTAACTCCCCCCCATTACCCTTCTACCCCAAATAAACCCAATCCCCCAGAAGATACGATTGACAAAGTGAGCTTTGACTGAAAGCGGTGCCGCAGAGGTGGTTACAAACGTCTACAGAGTGTGCCTGGTAAACTCATTCATAGCAGTGTGGCTAACTGGAATGCCAAACATTGGATGGTTTTCCTTCCATGCCCCAGTGTCACTATAGAATCTCTATAACTTTCTGTACAACTTTACAACAGAATTGTACTTCGACTGGTTTAGTGCCAAATTGAGCTTGCCAGAGTTACATAATTGATGACTACTTTTCTACCAATAAGAGTTTTGTAAGGTCAATGGCGATCACAAAACCCATAATCACAGTGTTCAGTTAAAAATATAAACACGGTAATCATAACTGCAAATGTTCATAATAGGAAAGTTCAGAATGCCATTATAATAACCGACCTCCATTTTAGGTACACAACACACCAACCAACCGTTTTTCCCCCACAGACAGTTTTTGCTACGCTGAGGTTGTGAAAGTCGATGTACTATTCTTTTTGCTTGTCGCACAAAGGGATATATGTGTAGGATACAGGGTGACATTGAACATACAGTGAAGCGTGACAGCCATTAGTTCTCCCCCTCCCCGG